CTCTTCAGGTAGTTGAAGGCTGCTATTAAATCCCCTCTGAGCCTCCTCTTCTCTAGACTAAATAAGCTCATACGCTTAGCTTGTACACACCAGCAGAGGTCTATCAGCTTCATTGGAGCTAAATTTATCAACGCCAGTTGAGAATCCAGCCGGCTGCACTCACTTTGTGTAAGGAAGGGAGCTCTGCCATTACCATTCTTGGCTTTCACCCTTGCCACAACTTGGAGTAAAGCACCCCTTTGCTTTCCTGCCAGCTCTCTGCATTCACACCTGTGGGGAATAGCTGACACACGCACAGCCCTTTCCAGGGGCCTGGCTGAGTCCAGAACGACTGCAGTGGCCTTGCACACAGTGCCTCCGCTGTACAGGTAAGTAATTTATTGATCTGTAAAGTGTTCCAAGACGCTCTGGAAGGGATTATGTCATGGCAGCGCCAGGCAATAAAATAAAAAATGATGGATTTTTGTGAACGCGAGGGTGATTTAGGGTTTGTAGCTGGAAGTGTAGTTAAAGTACATTTTAAGTGGAAATCAAGGTGGGTAATGAATTACTCTCTGTTTTGAAGGGCTTCTGGGAGTTCATTTTTCCTGCGTTGGACACAACAGCTAATCTGCTAATCATGCATCAGACAACAACAGCAGATCACAAGCAAGCTAAACAGAAGGGGTTCTGGGGCAATGCCATGTAGAGCATGGAGATGATGCTGAATGAAATATGCACAGATTTAAGTGAGTTATCTTACTTGCTGCCCAAAACCTAGTCTGCCCACATCACTGATTCTCAGCCTTGGGGGGATTTGTGGTACGCCTCACTGGACTCGAGGCACCCCTACATAACTTGTCAGTTGAGTGGCACCTAATTTCAAGGACAAAATCGTATATTCCAGTGCCTACCTCCTTGCAGACGGGCCAAGCAGTGGTGATGCAGGAGTGGCCAGGAAAGGACAATCCTGAGCCTGTGTTTATCTGCTTATCTCCTCATATCCTGTGGCACCCTTCAAAGGACTTGGCTGCACACTGCATCACCCTGGTTGAGAATCACTCGACCAGGCGGTGGGTACCCCTTTGAACCAATACCCCAGCAGGGAGCAAAGAGATGCTATGCTACCAGAAGTGCTGCCTTCTGGAGCAGATGTACTTGCATGTATTATTAGCTGTGTTACAGTTGCAGCAATAAGTCCCTATAGACACTGGAGTCATGTGCTAGGAGAGATATATACACATAGTAAGATGCAGCTTTACCCTGAGGACCTTATAGTCTCGACAAGCAAAAGAGACAAGGAAAGCATGGCTAACCACACTTTAGAAGTGGGGGATGGGGGCAGAGAGGTCAAGTGACACACCCAAGGTCACATACGAAGAAGCAGCAACTGAACCCAATTATAAGTCCCTGCTTTAACTAGTAGATCAGCCTGCCTCCACTGCAAGTCTGGAGCATTCGAGTGGAACCCTCTGTAACTTTAACACCACTGAATCAACTTCCCTCGCACACGAGTGGCTTCGCCCAGCTCACTGTGACTTAAAACCCAGCTCCCGTCTGCAGACAGCAGAACATAACTTAGTGCATCTGCATTTGCATGAGGAAACCCAGCAGATAATACCAAAGTCTGTACTAAATGAATTGCCCAAGCTAAAGATTGGCCACATTTTAAATTTAAAGCATGATCACAAGGGGGCAGAGTTAAGGGTAAAGCTTCCAACTCTGCTTTTCATAGCTTACAAACACTTATGTTCACTATGTATTAATGCTAGAAATTGCTTTGAGGCTTTAGGCCTTTTCCTTTTTTTTCTCCTCAGCCCAGCACAGGATAATTTGCAATCAGATTTTTAAGCACTTGATCTTTGCTTGAAAAGTGCTTTGCAATGTAAGCCATGATCTTTCGTTACTTCTACACCACCTGGCAATGGGCCCCTCGTCTCAGCTGCCCACGTGGTCCAAGAGAGGGGGTGGGACAAGACATAATGTCTCTCCGGGCTGGGCTAAGAAGTTCGCTCAGATCAGTGTCAGATGGCAGTAGGCAAAGGTGACATAGCCATAGTGGGGAAGTAAATGAGAGTGACAGTGGGAGAGAAGTCTTTAGTTACCCTTTAAATTAAACGTGCACTGTTCGGCTTTAACACGACAGTTATTGTATGCTAATTAAATGCTTGAATAATTAATTAAATGAATTATTTAAAATGCCTTTCTTGAGACATAACAGGTATATTATAAGATTTTACTACACTAGGGAGAAAAGGCTTAATAAATAAGTGATCGTAAATACAATGTGATATTAGTTAACATTCAATGGTGGTCCCATTACATCTACATTAAAATGCTTTATTTAGTGGCTGCTATTTTGCCAGCAATGGGGTGGGGAAAAACATCCTCATGCTGAAGGGAAGATGCAGATGGACCCATGCCCAGATGGGACGAATAAATAAATAAAGCTAAAGAAATGCAGACCTCCCAGGTGGGAATTCTCTCCTCGTTACCAGTCCTTGTGCTCTCAGCATCTCTCTTGCTCAGAGGTGATTAAACATGGCAGTTCTGGTCTGAGCTGCTCCAGTGACACTGTGCAGATTTCCCTAGAGCAGGGCCTGTGCTTTTATGGCTTTTTTCTTTTGATCCCAATGACAGGGAAGGTGTTTGTATTGCATGAGTTGATGCGGCCCCTTCCACGGATCCTTGAGCCAGGCCATGGCTTTTTCCCAGTTTTCACACATATATGGCTCCGAAGACAGAAAACGGAGCACTTACATATTTAATGCAAACAGATGGTGCACACACATTGCATGAACACATGGAGGGGAGAGAGCATCAGCGTACTTCGTGCATTTAATGGGTAGAGATGTGTGCACATGGGCTTACACCAACACATGGGCCACAGACATGGACACTTCCCATGACTCTTCCACATCCCCTCTCCAGTGCACATTTCTGCACACACACGCTCACACGCACTCCCTCCCCACCCCTGGGCACTTACATGAACATATAGCAACAGCCATGCTGTCAGCAGTCGGGACGTGCGTACACCTCTGGCCATATACAAATGCACACCGGCAATCTAGCTGCACCCCCCATGCACGCGCACACACACACACACACACACACACACACA